CGAGGCAGGCGGTAACTGTGACTGCGGCTGGACAGGCAGAGGACACTCGACTGACGGAGGAGGACTAGGAGGAGGAGCCTGACCAAGAACCTGCTGAAGGAGCGGTACGAAGTACGGTCGCGGCCGCGCAGCGTCTCCAGAAGCAGCAGGGACACCAGTGGCAGCCCCAACGCCCGAGTCCTCAGCACCAGCAGCAGCTCCAACGCCCGGGTCCTCAGCACCAGTAGGAGCTCCAACGCCCGAGTCCTCAGCACCAGCAGCAGCGCCACCGGTCGGGTCCTCAGCACCAGCAGCAGCTCCAACGCCCGGGTCCTCAGCACCAGCAGCAGGGCCACTGGTCAGGTCCTCAGCACCAGCAGCAGCGCCACCGGTCGGGTCCTCAGCACCAGCAGCAGCTCCAACGCCCAGGTCCTCAGCACCAGCAGCAGGGCCACTGGTCAGGTCCTCAGCACCAGCAGCAGCTCCAACGCCCGGGTCCTCAGCACCAGCAGCAGGGCCACTGGTCAGGTCCTCAGCACCAGCAGCAGCGCCACCGGTCGGGTCCTCAGCACCAGCAGCAGCTCCAACGCCCGGGTCCTCAGCACCAGCAGCAGCACCACCGCTCAGGTCCGCAGCACCAGGAGCACCACTACGAAGACTGCAGCGCCGCGTGTACCACTCGCGGATCACCTGAATGGGGGGGAGCTCCTGGGTAGGAGGGGAAGTACCGGGACGAGCTCCAGAAGCACCTCTCCGGAGGCGGCAGTACTCGAGGTACCTCTCCTGCAGCTGCTGGGAGGAGAGGGCTCCTCCAGGTGGAGCACGCTCAGGCTCAGCACCCCCAGACTCAGCACCCCCAGTCTCAGCACGTCCAGGCTCAGCACCCCCAGGCTCAGTACCTCCAGGCTCCGCACCTCCAGGCTCCGCACCTCCAGGCTCAGCACCCCCAGGCTCCGCACCTCCAGGCTCAGCACCCCCAGGCTCCGCACCCTCAGACGCAGCACTCCCAGGCTCAGCACCCCCAGACGCAGGACGCGAGTCAACAGCTACCTCGACAGGCTCACCCGGGTCTACCTGGGACACACCTGAGGGAGCGGCACCCTGAGGGGGGAGGGGGTCTGGTACCTCAGCACCTGGAGCGAGGAAGAGAGGCGGGGGGGGGAGCGGGGCAGTGCGGTAGGGGAAGAGGCGGTAGAAGGGGACGGACTCGTCAAAAGTGACGTCCTGAGAGGCCAGAACCCGGCGCGAGGTGACGTGGTAAAACTGCCATCCAGGCGCGTCGGGAACAAAGCCAAGAAAGACACAGGGAACAGCGCGACGCGAGAGCTTGTCCGCGGACGTATCGCGGACAAAAGCTCGAGATCCCCAGACCCGGAAACGCGACGCATCGCCAACCTCTCCCGTCCACCGTAGAGTCGGGGAAGTCTCCGGCAAGGAGACACGGGGCCAGAGGTTGAGCTGATGCGCTGCGTACCGGACCGCAAACGGCCACAGAAAGTGGGGAGCAGCCGCATGGGTCAGGGAGGTACGAGCGACCTCCATGACCAAGCCAATGCGGCGCTCAGCGACCCCATTCTGCTGTGGAGAGGCCGGAAGCGTGTACGACTGCTCAATGCCGTGCTCAGCACAGTAGGCTGCCAAGAGGTCGGAGGCAAACTCACCACCTCTGTCAGAGTGCAAGCGCAGGACAGGAAAGTCCGAGTGAAAGCGCTCGCCTAGCTGGAGACGGGCTCGGCTGATCCAGGGGATCAAAACACCAGGGACGTCACCCTTGGCGCGCAAGGGGAAGACCGTGGTGTAGCGCGAGTAGTCGTCAACAACTATCAGGAAGTATCTCTCCTGACCCTGACCACGGACGCGGGCTGGGCCCCACACGTCCATGTGGAGCGTCTGCAGGGGAGCTGTCGTCGGGGGAAAGGAGGAGGAGTGAGGAGCGGCGCGCTGCCGCCCCTCGACACAGGGAATGCAGTCAGGAGCAGGGGAGTCAGGAAGGGGAGGGAGCACCCTGGGAAGACCAGCAACAAGGTCCCGTTTGTGCATGGCCCGCAGGCGCTGCACAGACGGGTGACCAAGGCGGTGGTGCCAGAGGACGGTGTCGTTCGCCAGAGAGCGACACGAGCAGGGGGCGGACAGCTGACCTGACGCTGACGCAGACGCAGCTACCTGAGGGGACTCAGTGGTCAGTGTGTACAGGTCAGACCCCGGCTCTCGAGTGAAAGTAGCCAGGTGGCGGCCCGTCCGAGCACACGTGCAGTGAGTCACACGCTCGTAGGCAGGGGTGAACTGGTGAACACCCGAGTCCTGGAGCGCACTACCTGCCACCAAGTTCGTGGAGAACGAGGGGAGATAGAGACCTGAGAGCTTGCCGGACGGAACCGCTGGACACGGAAGGGTGGTGGAGGAGGTCGCAAGGACCGGACCCCCAGAGGGGTCAGCAAGAGAGACAGCAACCGGCCGAGCTAGAGGCTCAAGGACAGTGCGGTCACGAAAGAAAGAGCGAGAAGCACCTGAGTCAAGTGTGAAGGTGTGCAGTGCTGCAGTCGACTCAGTACCAGGGGGCACAGACGCAGAAGCACCTAGAGCAGCAGCTGCAGTAGTACCTGTGGAAGCAGACACACTAGCACCTAGAGCAGCAGCAGGGCTGGCCTGAATGCCCGGGTCGGGCGGAACACGCAAGTACTGAGCACCCTCTCCACTAATAGACATCGCATACATGGCAGTGAGAATAGCATCAAAGTCAAGTGCCCAAATATCAACACCCTTCCTGAGCAGATCAGCCCAGCGCGGCAGCTCACCCCCACCAGGAAACTGAGTGCGCCACGCATCGTTGAGGCGGGCGAAGCAGCGCTCCGTCTGGTGCGGCCCCCCACACGTCTGGCCAGTGCGGTCACCTGTACGAATAACGTACTGGCAGGTGACGCTGCGCCGCGCATACCACTCACGGGCGGCCTGAAGGGTCGGGGCAGGCTGCTGACTCTGACCGCCCGCCGGGCCTCCACGACCACCACCCCCTCCGCCTCCGCCCCGGCCACCTCCACCCCTGCCGCTGCCACGACCACCTCCGCCTCCGCTGCCACCTCCGCCCCTGTCACCACTCCCAACACCGCTGTCACCTCCACCACCGCCGCCACTAGCCTCTCCAGTCGCACCTCCACCGCCACCACCTCCACCCCCGCCTCCTCCGCCACCACCCCCACTCCTGCCACTCCTGCCCCTGCGTCGTCCGCCTGAAGCAGACGCAGCCCCGACCTTCTCAGCACCAAGGAGGTCGACAGCAGCAGCAGAGGCGACAGAGGGGAGGAGGGGGGAAGGGGAGCACCCCTCGAAGAAGGGGCCGCGGGGGTCGCCACGAGAGGTGCCTACAGCGACGATACTAGCCTCGGCTGCAAGCAGTTCCTTCTCGAGGAGGGCTATGGTGAGCTCAGTGGGGGAGCGAGAGAGGAACTGGTCCCTGACAGGGCGCAGAGAGTCAGGGAGGCGGGTGACAACGTGGTAGAGAGTGATCCAGAGCGGGGGGGGGTTGCTAGCGAGGAACTCATCAGGCATGGCAGCGCGAAAGCGAGCCTCACTAGTCTTAAGGTGGGTGATGAGGTCTGCGACAGTGTGAAAAGAGGCTAGGTCGGGGAACAGGTAGGGGAGAGTGAGGCGGCCTAGTGTGGCAGAAGCGGGTGAGGAGTAGCGGGCCACTACAGCTGTGTAGAGGTCCTTAGCAGTCTTGCACTGGCCGAAGTGCTCGCGCTCATCTAGCGGCAGGGAGTTGCGAATAGCAAAGCGAGCGTGCGCGTCACGGGTCTGCCACTGTGAGCGCTCAGTTGGAGGGGCAGTAGCGAGTGGGGCGGTCGCATGGCCGAGAGCGTGGTCGTACAGTGTAATATCTTCCTTGGCAGTGAGCTGTAGGAAAAGGTGCAGATCATCTAGCCAGGTTTCGAATTTGACCGGACGGCCCTCGGCGTCGAAAGCTAGAACAGGAGGACTAGCCATAGCGACAGCGGCAGTAGTAGAAGCAGTAAAGTCACTGAACAGGCGTGCGCAGGGTCAGCAGGGCCGGTGGGGCCTACGGACTGTAGTGGCGCACAAGCAGCAGTAGCAGGAAGTGTAGTAGTAGGATCTGCAGTGGTGCACAGGCGCAGCAGGCGGCAGCGAGAGCCGGCGCAGCAGGGGCGGGCTCAGCAGCGGTGATACGCGGGCGGCAGCGGGCGCAGCAGCGGCGGTGCGCGGGCGGCGGCGGGCTCAGCAGCGGCGGTGCGCGGGCGGCGGCGGGCTCAGCAGCGGCGGTGCGCGGGCGGCTGCGGGCTCAGCAGCGGCGGGCCGGGAGCAGTGCGGGCAGCGTGCGGGCCGGCGGCGGTCAGCGCACGAGCCGCGCAGGCTCAGCGCGGGCTGCGCGGGCTGCTCGCGGGCTGCGTAAGCGGGTCGCGGGCGGCTCGCGGGGGTTCGCGGGCAGGTCGCGGGCTGCTCGCGGGCAGTTCGCGGGCTGTGCGCGGGCTGCGCGGGCTGGTCGCGGGCTGCGCAGGCGGGTCGCGGGCTGTGCGCGGGCGGTTCGCGGGCTGTGAGCGCGGCGCGCTGTGCGGTTCGCGGGCGGCGTGACGGGGCCGATCGGGGCGCTAAGGGGCGACGCGACGGGGGCCGTGAGAGGCCGCTAAAAAAAAATTTCGACGGGGCCGCAGGGCCGCTAGATCGTGCTAGATCGACGGGGCCAGCGGGGCCGGAAACAAGCGAAGGTAAGCAGGTAGGTAAGTCGGTGGGCCCTAAGAACAGTCCTAGTGAAGGACCTGCTCTGAAACCATGTCAGAAATAACTGAGCAGGAATGAATGAACTAGCACAGAGTTTGGTACAAGTAGGAAACCCTAACTTTGTGTACCCCCTAAGGTGTAACCCACTACAGCCTACACAATATAAACATACAATGTTTGACAGGCATGGCGCAGCCCACAAATGCGCCATGCCAAGGCATGGCGCCTCATTCGGTGCTGCGCCATGCAGCAAAGGCATGGCGCAGCCCGCAAATGCGCCATGCAAAGGCATGGCGCCTCATTCGGCGCTGCGCCAAGCAGCCAAGGCATGGCGCAGCCCACAAATGGCGCAGCAGGGCATGGCGCAGCAGGGCATGGCGCAGCAGGGCTTGGCGCAGCAGGGCATGGTGCAGCAAGGCATGATGGAGCACGCAGAGGGACAGCGGACGGTTCAGCAGCGCGTGTGGCAGCAGCAGCTGGGCATGCATTGGCAGGGAGTCTCTATGACGGAGCCAGCGTTAGCTACATCTTATAATGTGGGTGGCATGTATAGAGGAGGTGTTCCAACTCGAGAAGGATTATACTGGCAGTGCCCCTGGACTGTGCCCACGCAGTTGCACATGAATCAGCAGAGGCCATCGTATGCAGGGTCAAACCGCACCACACAACCTGCAAATGGTGGTGATTCAGCGACAGGTGTTGCGGGTGGACAAGGTGGAGCTGAAGGCGCAGAAGAACTGGTCGAACAACAAGATCAACTCCACTAGAGAATTATGTGTTTTCTTACTCCTTAATGTATGTTCACCAGGTAAAACAGATCGCCACGATCGCAATCAATTTGTGCTTGTTGTAGTGACTAAAGGGGTTTCCCAAGCAGGTGCTTGGAAACATGTGCAATAAGCAATATCTAAGGCATTATAAAAAATTATCAGATGACATTTAGTATGATGTATGTGACATATGCCACTCGATGCATTGGTTGTGTGTCAGCCTCGCCCTTACATTGTAAACCATGGCATATTGTTGCTTTTGTTTCCAGCACTGTATATTGTTGGTCAAGCATTTCCGCTAAACCAAGACTATATTATTCCCGCACCTCTTTTGGATTCATAAAATATAATGCAACGATTAGTGCTCACAAATTAATAATTACCCTTTTAATGCTATCATTTCAAATATAAAACAAATTTATACATATGACATTTATACCTATAATGCGAAACATATGTAATACCGTTTCCCGTTTTGCTTCATACAGGGTACGTACGGGGTACACAATGTTTGGAACAAGCACTTACCAGTTTGGAGTTCGGGATGCACTGTTCATTACCATTCAGGCAATAATGTTGACCATTGGCATGATGGTTACCACCCTGGCGATCACACGATATCTTTGTTACGATTTCGACACGTGACTTACCTGCTTGGGAAACCCCGTGACACCTAAACCCAAGCTGAAAATATTCCATTGTCCGGCGCTGGCACAGCTTCCAGACGGCCTGAGCCTGCTGTCTTCTCTCGAGCTGCTGGAGCTGTACGATTGCCCGCAAATCATGGCGCTGTTAGAGGAAATCGGACGGCTGGGAGCGCTTGGAAGACTCATGGTCTACGGTCTGCACAACCTAAAGTCGCTCCCTCGCTCGCTGTTTCAGCTGCTGCATTTGAAAAGACTGGAATTGAAATTCTGCAAAGCGCTGTAGTCACTGTTTGGGGAGGAAGACCAGGGAGCCGCATCACATGGCCTTGGGGCGGGAAGCACCCGCCTCGAGCTACCTGGTCACACGAGTAGCAGCAATGTCGCTGGCAGCTGTTTGGGATCCGAGGAGAGTGGCACGGGTGTGTTGCTCCCATCCCTTGCGGATCTTACAATATGGCACCTTCCAGTGTTCGCTCCATTACTGGGTTACTTCTCATCCCTAACCAGCCTGCATATCTCGGAAATGGATCCATCACGGTGCCTTCCAGATTCCATCGCTTGCCTCTCTCGCTTGCAGTCACTCACGATCAACTATATTGACAGCCTGCTTGCTCTGCCAGAGTCAATAGGAAAGCTTTCAGCGCTCACTTCCCTCAATATTTGGTCTCGCGAGCTTGACGGAGCTGCCTGAGTCGCTTGGGCAGCTGAAGAAGCTTCGGGTTCTTAGAATTGCGTATTGCTGGAGCCTAACCAGGCTTTCCGAATCCTTCCCCGATCTCTGTAGTCTGGAGAAGTGTGATTTGGGGAATCTCAGAATCTCGTGCCTTCCAGATGACTTCTGGAAGCTCTCTGCTTTGAAGGAACTCTGGCTCTTTTCACTGCCCAAACTCCGCAGGCTGCCCGAATCTTTTGCCCAGCTGCCCGCGTTGGAGAAGTTGGATTTGATGAACTGCAAGCGGCTGACTCAATTACCTTCGGGCCTTGGGCAGATGCGGAAGCTGCAGGAATGCGTTGTCATTAGCTACCACCGGGGCGAGGAAAGGGTAAGGTACGTGATTCACAGAGACCAGGGAGAGCACGTGGTGCATGACTCGCAGGTCGGGGAAGAGGAGGAAGAGGATGACTCGGAGGGAGAAGATGACTCGCAGGGAGAAGATGACTCGGAGGGAGAAGATGACTCGGAGGGAGAAGATGACTCGCAGGGAGAAGATGACTCGGAGGGAGAAGATGACTCGGAGGGAGAAGATGACTCGCAGGGAGAAGATGACTCGGAGGGCGGGGAGGGGGAGGAGGAGAGCAAGGATGAGGAGGAGGGGGAGGATGAGGAGGAGGGGGAGGATGAGGAGGAGGGGGAGGAAGAAGGGGAAGTCGGGACAGCGGAGGAGGATGAGGGGCATGAAGGCGAAAGGGAGGGAAGAGAGGGGAACGAAAGGGAGGGGATTGAAGGGGAGGGGAGGGAAGGGGACGGGAATGAAGGGGATGGGAAAAAAAGGGAGGGGAGAGAAGGGGAGGGGAGCAAAGGGGAGGGGAACGAAGAGGAGGGGATAGAAGGGGAAGGGAACAAATTAGAGGGGACCTAAGGGGAGGGGAACGAAAGGGAGCAGAGTAAAGGGGTGGGGAGCGAAGGGGAAGGGAATGAAGAGGTGGGGAGCGAAGGGGAGGGGAACGAAGAGGTCGGGAGGGAAGGGGAGGGGAACGAAGAGGAGGGGAACGAAAGGGAGGGGAGCGAAGGGGAGGGAAGCGAAGGTGAGGGGAACAAAGGGGAGCGAAGGGAGAGGGAGCACAGGAGAGGGGAGTGAAAGGTAGGGGAGTGAGGAACGGAGGAGGTAGTGGAGTGAGATGAAGATGAGGAGGACGAGCAATGCAAGGATGGGCAGGTGAGAGGGGAATGGCAAGTTGATGGAAGAGGAAGTTTCAGAGCAGGAAATAGGTGATGCCATGAGGGAGGGTGGGGGGTCACTAGAGAGAGAGTCTTATGACTGTATGCTGAACGACATACAACCCATGCTGTACTTGTACCTTTGTTGGCTGAACGACATTCGAGCTGCATAAAAAGCGTGTCATGTCAACCTGAGTGTTACGTATTGATACTTTCTTGCCGGAACGTATGTTGGTGGTAGGGTTCTGTTTCTGTTTTCTGGTCATGCTAAGTTTGCACCGCTGAAGCCTGCCTAAGTCTCTCCACCACTCTTCCTCCCCCCAAATTTCCGCCTCCTAGGTGTCTTCAAGTCTGCCCTCTCCCGCGACGACATGTCAGCAGCCAACGTTACCGGCTTTGCTGCCGACGCGACAAGTGGTGCTGATCTGGCAGTCTCTCAACGCCATGCTGCCAAGCGGGCTTGATGAGCTGGTATCCGACCCGGGCGGGCAGGTTTCGCAAGTTCTTGTACACGGGCAGCTGTTTACATGCTTGGCGCTGCTGGGGCTTGGCAAGCCGGATGTGCCTTCGAGGAGGGCAAGAGAGAGGGTGGTGATCTATGCTACAGCGAACCTGGACAAGGGAGAGTGTGCAGTGGGTGGCTCGGATCGGAGGAAGAAGATAGAAGGGGAAGTGTGGTGGATGGCTGAGGAGGATGAGGAAAGTGAAGAGGAAGGAGAGGGAAGTGAAAGCAAGGGGTGTGAAAGCCAAGGGAGTGGGAAACGGGGTTAGGAGGTGGAGTGAGGTGGAGATGAGGACGAGGCAAGGATGGGTAGGTGAGGGATGATGAGAAGGAATTCGAGGATTTGGAGGACGAATTGAAAAAAAGGTGAGGTGGCTATCAATGTCATACCGTATCAACCACATGTCATTCAAGCCTTTAGTTAATGCGCTTTCAAACTGGTTAGGTTGCAAATTTTGTATTATTTAAGGTAACCCCTGCGCTTAAAAAAACCTCGATTACAAGCACACCCCCATAAAAACACGCTTTTTATTCTACCCCATGGACACGCACGGTGTATCCGGGGTAAGTCGGTATGTGGAAGAAGCAAACGTACAAGTCTTAGGGTGTGCCATATTGTTATGATTTTTGGATATGATTATAGACACAATTTGCGAATAATATAGGTCGTCGGGATGAATCCCAAGATGGCGATAGCAATGCTGTATTGTTAGATATTCTTAGGTGGTTGTTCTGTCTTGGCGGATCTGGTACAGTGGTACTGTCTTGAACAATTTTCACGGAGAAACTTGTAATGATCCACGCGCACACCCCTCCACAACTTTCCAACTTCTATCTGCGCCTACGAATGCAATCTATGCCAACGCACCACCGCAGCAATCGTGCATTTGACTCTCCTGCGCTTGTCAGCTGGAATGGCGCAGGACCGCGCGCCTGCCACTGACGGTTTCCGGAAACTCGTGTATTCATGGTGAGCTTTGCGTGCTAAACCCTTCGCTATAACGCGTGCGGCTCTCTCCACTGTGCCTTTCGCGATGTAGCTGCTTGGCGTGTAGCCAGCAGTTAGGGTTGAACGCCTCGCGTCAATTGCGGCGAATGCTGCGTCGAGCGCAATTCCGCGAGGCCGCAAACGTGGCAGCGGCGGCGCAAGCTCGTCTCTGTCGCTTTCCCCCACGCTTCTCGTCGCGCAGTTCCCCGAGCAGCCGAGGTCACTTTTGTTTGAGTGACTCGAATTTCACACAGCCGCTCCTGCCCGGCGCTGCCTGCAGGGTGGTTTTTCTCGCGCGGGGGTCGTCCCTTCGCCGGGAAATGCGGTTTCGCAGGCTGTCGGGGGCGAGGCAGCGATGCCGCAGTGTTTGCGCCTGCACTCGTCGCACGCGCTGTGTGAGATGGCAGCGGGGAGCACTGGACGGCCCCCGTGCTTTTGAGACTGGAACAAACCTCGCCATCACAAGTGCCCACGAGCCCAGCAACACTCTCCCTCGAACAACTCTCGCCATCACTTTTTCCCCGCCTCTCCCCTACTTCTTCTCCCTTACCCCCTCTCCACGCCACACCCCACCCCAACAAACCCCCTTCTCCATTCCCCCTCTTCCCCCACCTCCGACCCCACTTAAACCCCGTCCCTCCCCTGAATCCCCACTCAACCCCTTTCTCGTTCGAGGGCCACTTGGGCCAGCTCGTTTGAAGCACCTCGGCGCGCAATGCCCTTCTGTCTTCGCCACCTCCCCCGTTCCCCTCCTCCCCCGTTCCCCTCCTCCCCCGCTCCTCACCTCCCCCACTCCCCCCGCTCCTCACCTCCCCCCTCCACACGGAGCAGCCTCCCTGCGCACTGAGCAGGCGGGCGGGAAGTTGGGCACAGCAAGATGCGCATCTCCCCTGCCGACCTGCCCCAATGTGTTGTATCGCCATGCCGCTCTCTCCGCTGGGTGACGCACCACACCAGCCTCCCCCTTTCCCCAATCCCCACCTCCCCACCCTCCCCCTCTCCCCCGATCCTCACATCCCCACTCCACATAGCACAGCCTCCCTGCGCACTTTCAGCCGGGAAGGCATCTCCTCGCTGGGGATCTCCTCGCTGGGCATGGGCGCATTTCCTCTGTGGGCCCGCCTCGCTGTGCCTTCATGCCTCTCTCCTGGGACAGCCATAACAGCGGGCAGCACTGACGCACCCTGCAGCGCCATCAGCCGTGGAGTGGAGAAGCGCCCTTCACTCCACCAGCCCCCATCAATTCAACTCCCCCCATCCCTCTCCGCGCATGCCATGCCCCCAGGGGCGTCAACCAGGACGGGAGGACTAAACTAAACCCCTCCACACTCCTGTGAAAGTGCCTTTCATCCCCTCCAACCACCCACATCAGCCCCACTTGCCCTTTCTCACCCTCCACGCATTCCCTTCCCTCCGCAGCCCAGGGGTGTGAAGTGAATGAAGATGGGCGGGTCACGGGTGCGCACGGGCACGCTGGCGCACCCAGCAGCACACAAGCCCGGGAGAAGCACCATTCTTCCCCCCATGCATCCCCCGTACCTTCTCTCTCCCCCTTCTAGGGGAGCCAACGAGGATGGGCAGCTGGGCACGGGTGCACTGGCGCACTCAGGAGCACCACAAGGCAGGGAGAAGGCGCTGTTCCGTGCCCCCCCCCCAACCCACCAATTCAGCTTGCCCCTTTCCTCCATACATGCCCCCTTTCCTCCATACATGCCCCTTTCCTCCATACATGCCCCCTTTCCTCCATACATGCCCCCTTTTTCAGGGGAGCCAACGAGGATGGGCAGCTGGGCACGGGTGCACTGGCGCACTCAGCAGCGCTGCAGCTTGTGCCGGCGCTGGCAGGGGCGGACGTGGTGCAGCTGGTGGGCGGCAGCAGGAACTCCCTCGCCCTCACACAGGACGGCCGGGTGAGATAGTGGAGGGTGATGGTTGTGTGAATGTGCTTTCTGGTGATCGCTTTGTCAGCCTCTAGCTCTTGCAGGAGCGCATGTGCTGCAGTGCAGCTTGCGCAGCGCTAGGAGTGGCATCAGGAGGAACTTGATCGACCTTGATCGCCCTCACGCACACGACAGCCAGGCTGGGTGAGTTAGAGTGTGAGGGATTCTTTGAAACGTGCTTCCATTTGCTGCACCTGGCTCTTGCATTCTCAAACTCCAGATTCCAAATCCTTTCACCTTCCTTTCACCTTCCTTCCTTTCTCCTTCCTTTCTCCTTCCTTTCTCCTTCCTTGCTCCTTCCTTCTCCTTCCTTTCTCCTTCCTTTCTCCTTCCTTTCTCCTTCCTTTCTCCTTCCTTTCTCCTTCCTTTCTCCTTCCTTTCTCCTTCCTTTCTCCTTCCTTTCTCCTCCTCCTTTCTCCTTCCTGGATCACCATCAGTCCCTTCCCTGTAGTGCTTGAACCAGCCAGCAGTCATCAAGGCTCCTGTTTCCCCGTCTTCCATCCGGCTCTTCATCTGTTGAGGCCGGAGCTTGTCAGTCCGCCCGCCCCTAGAAGCACCCGATCCGCCAGGTGTTCGTGCAGGGTTGGTTGGCACCACCGCGTCTTGCAGCCTCCCCTGCAACCTCCCCCTCAACCTCCCCCCCCTTCTCCCGAGTCTTTTCCGGAACAGCCCCCCCTACCCCCGGCACAAAAAATGTGTGTCTGTAAATCATTTGACCATTTGATTTTTTTTCCAAGGGTTTAGAAAACCTGCAAAGAATTTGACAAAGCATTTGAAAAAATGTTTATACTTTCACCTAAAAGCGTTTTGGCCCCTACGGTCGAAAACCATTTTGATAATACTTCACCTGAACTCTTTGCGGCAGGTTTCTGGACACAAGATTTTTGTGATGGCGTCCATTCCCCCTCTCGCAGGTGTTGGTGTGGGGGTGGAACCAGCGCAGCACGTTGGGCCATCCTCCCGCCCCGGCCGCCCCGAGAGAAGCTGTCCCCTGCCAGGTCAGGTGCCACATCAGGTGCCAGGTGTCAATCCCAAGCCTGAATCAGGACTTGATCGTTCCAAGCATCCTCAATCGTGCCAGCTGCCTTCTTCCCATGCAAGTGTTGCTCTTGCTCGCTGATTGACTCTCACAGTAAATCCCACATCTCCTCTGCACTGCGCCACTCGAGAGTAATAATGGACCTTTGGGACATCCCGAAAATGCACCGTTCCTCCTAGCCATGCACCAGCCACTCCTCTGTGCCTCGTGTGTCCCGAGGAGGCAAGAGTTCACCTGCACTTCTCTGCTAAACGCTTGTCTTCTCCCGTTCCACGTGCAGGTGGAGTCGCTTAAAGACGAGAAGATCGTGCAGGTGAGCTGACTCAGCATGCTGTGAGCTGACTCAGCATGCTGTGATCTGACTCAGCATGCTGTGATCTGACTCAGCATGCTGTGAGCTGACTCAGCATGCTGTGAGCTGACTCAGCATGCTGTGAGCTGACTCAGCATGCTGTGAGCTGACTCAGCATGTTTGTGTTTTGACTTTTTTTATAACTGTTGGTCTGCTTTGCTGCCTTCTGTGATTGCTAATTCCTGCTGCCTATTTCTTTCTTTCGAACTGCTGACGTGGCAGGCAGCCATTGGCGGGTGGCACTGTCTAGCTGTAAACGAGAAGGGGACTGCTTTCTCCTGGGGTGGGTCCGTCCTTGCCCTTCCTGCACTCCCCCCTCCTCGCATGATTCTCACTCGCACTACCAGATGCTCCTCATTGCACTACCAGATGCTCCTCATTGCACTACCAGATGCTCCTCATTGCACTACCAGATGCTCCTCATTGCACTACCAGACGCTCCTCATTGCACTACCAGATGCTCCTCATTGCACTACCAGATGCTCCTCATTGCACTGCATCGCATTGCGTTACTTGCATGACATGCCATGCTGCCAAGCTGCCAACTCGGCAGTGTAGAGCCCACATCAGGGGAAAGATACTTCTTGTATCTGCTGTTGAAACAAGCCTTTGTGCTGTTATGTTATGTTGTCTCATTCTCCTCGCTTCCCTCTCTGTCTGTCATATTATCCTGTCATGTTATCTTCCCTGACACGAGATCACCGTACTGTGTCTGTCCGTCACCCTGTGTTCCTCCAGTCACAAGCGGCAATGAGTACAGGCAGTGTGCAGCCAAGGTATCAGACGAGCTGATGTGGTAACCCCGTTACCTTGTCACTGTGTTACCACGTATTCCCCCCTCCCGTCCCAGGTGGCAACGAGTGCGGGCAGTGTGCAGCCAAGGTAGCAGACTAGCTGCACGGCAACAAGCTCATGTGGTAACCCTGTTACCGCATCGTTGGGTGACCCTGTGTTCCTCCCCTCCCAGGCGGCAATGAGTACGGGCAGTGTGCAGCCAAGGTAGCAGACAAGCTGCACGGCAACAAGCTGAGCGCGCGCGACATCCTCTCGCCCTTCCCCTGCGTGCCACAGCTGCGCGTCAAGCAGGTGACAGGGTTGATTGAGAGCAGATATGGGTTAGATGAGAGCGGTGCAAGCAGGTGTGGGCAGGCGAGGGCAGGTGCAGTGCGGGTGGATCCGGTTGCCTACTGTTTTTCTCCGCCCCACCCATCCCCCCTGCCCCATTTCTGCTTTGCCGCCGCCCTTTCCCTATCCTCCCCCATCCCTTATCTCTCCAGGTGTTTTTTTCCATCCACCCTGCTCCAGCTCTCTTCTCCCGTCTCTGCTGCATGCGTGGGCCATGGTCCTGTCGTGTGGTTACTTTTGAGTCTCCAAAGATTCTGGCCTTGTTCTCTCGTGGCAGCAGGAGGCAGCAGGAGGCACACACACACTCACTGGTACTCAAGTGCATGCACTTGTCACTGTATCTTCTCTCCGTGCTGCCATAACCCCATACTCCCCCTCACCCCATGCCCCATGCCCCCACACCCCGTCCCCCCATGCCACCAAACCTCTATGCATGCCCCGTGCCTTCCCGTGGCACCAGGTGGCGGTGGGGTCACACACGCGGTGGTGCGCACGAGGGAGGGCTTCCCACCTCTGCTCTGTATCTTTCACCCCCATGCCCCCATCCCCCATCTCCTCGGGTTTCTTTATCCCCTTATTGTTCCATGCACGCAGTGGTGTGCACGAGGGAGGGCTTCTCACCGCAGTGTTTCACCCATCTCCCCGGTTGTCTTTGTCCCACCTCTGCACTGTATCTTATACCCCCGTGCCGTGCTCCCATCCCGCCATGGCCCCATACCGCATCAGGTGGCAGCAGGGGGCACGCACTCAGTGGTGCTCACGAGGGAGGGCGACGTGTGGGTGTGGGGTCAGCCCTGGCCGCCCGCTGACGCGTGAGTGCAGGGCAGGGGGTGTGATGTGCTGTGAGAACAAGGCAGTGTGATGTGCTGTGAGAACAAGGCAGTGTGATGTGCTGTGAGAACAAGGCAGTGTGATGTGCTGTGAGAACAAGGCAGTGTGATGTGCTGTGAGAACAATGCAGTGTGATAGCAGCTGCTTGTTGCAAGGTCCCTGCTGTGCATCTCACCTGTTTCTCTCCTTACCCACCTCGCCGCCATCTCACCAGCGCCTCTCTTCGCGTCAGGGTGTCTTGTCAATCAACTCGAGAGTCGCCTCTTTGCCATCCCCATCCCCCATCCCATCCCCCATCCCCCATCTCATTCCCATCCCCCATCCCATTCCCATCCCCTTCCCATTCCCATCCCCCATCCCATTCCCATCCCCATCCCATCCCCCATCCCCCATCCCCCATCCCATTCCCATCCCCCATCCCATCCCCCATCCCCCATCCCATTCCCATCCCCCATCCCATTCCCATCCCCCATCCCATTCCCATCCCCCATCCCATCCCCCATCCCCCATCCCATTCCCATCCCCCATCCCATTCCCATCCCCCATCCCATTCCCATCCCCCATCCTATTCCCATCCCCCATCCCATCCCCCATTCCCCATCCCATTCCCATCCCCCATCCCATCCCCCATCCCCCATCCCATTCCCATCCCCCATCCCATTCCCATCCCCCATCCCATTCCCATCCCCCATCCCATCCCTCATCCCCCATCCCATTCCCATTCCCCATCCCATTCCCATCCCCCATCCCATTCCCCTCCCCCATCCCATTCCCATCCCCCATCCCCCATCCCATTCCCATCCCCCATCCCATTCCCATCCCCCATCCCATCCCCCATCCCCCATCCCATTCCCATCCCCCATCCCATCCCCCATCCCCCATCCCATTCCCATCCCCCATCCCATCCCCCATCCCCCATCCCATTCCCATCCCCCATCCCATTCCCATCCCCCATCCCATTCCCATCCCCCATCCCATCCCCCATCCTCCATCTCATTCCCATCCCCCATCCCATTCCCATCCTCCATCCCATTCCCATCCCCCCATCCCATCCCCCATCCTCCATCTCATTCCCATCCCCCATCCCATTCCCATCCCCCATCCCATTCCCATCGCCCATCCCATTCCCATCCCCCATCCCATTCCCATCCCCCATCCCATTCCCATCCCCATCCCATTCCCATCCTCCTTCCCATTCCCATCCCCCATCCTATTCCCATCCCCCATCCCATCCCATCCCCATCCCCATCCCATTCCCATCCCCCATCCCATCCCCCATCCCCCATCCCATTCCCATCCCCCATCCCATTCCCATCGCCCATCCCATTCCCATCCCCCATCCCATCCCCCATCCCCCATCCCATTCCCATCCCCAATCCCATTCCCATCCCCCATCCCATTCCCATCCCCCATCCCCCATCCCCCATCCCATCCCCCATCCCCCATCCCATCCCCCATCCCCCATCCCATTCCCATCCCCATCCCATCCCCATCCCCCATCCCATTCCCATCCCCCATCCCATTCCCATCCCCCATCCCCCATCCCCATCCCCCATCCCATCCCCATCCCCCATCCCATTCCCATCCCCCATCCCCCATCCCATCCCCCATCCCCAATCCCATCCCCCATCCCCCATCCCCCATCCCATTCCCCATCCCCCATCCCATTCCCATCCCCCATCCCATTCCCATCCCCCATCCCATTCCCATCCCCCATCCCATTCCCATCCCCCATCCCATTCCCATCCCCCATCCCATCCCCCATCCCCCATCCCATTCCCATCCCCCATCCCATTCCCATCCCCAATCCCATTCCCATCCCCCATCCCATTCCCATCCCCCATTCCATTCCCATCTTCCATCCCATTCCCATCTTCCATCCCATTCCCATCCCCCATCCCATTCCCATCCCCCATCCCATTCCCATCCCCCATCCCATTCCCATCCCCATCCCATTCCCATCCCCAATCCCATCCCCCATCCCCCATCTCATTCCCATCCCCCATCCCATTCCCATCCCCCATCCCATTCCCATCCCCCATCCCCCATCCCATCCCCCATCCCCCATCCCATTCCCATCTTCCATCCCATTCCCATCCCCCATCCCATTCCCATCCCCCATCCCATTCCCATCCCCCATCCCATTCCCATCCCCCATCCCATTCCCATCCCCCATCCCATTCCCATCCCCCATCCCATCCCCCATCCCCCATCTCATTCCCATCCCCCATCCCATTCCCATCCCCCATCCCATTCCCATCCCCCATCCCCCATCCCATCCCCCATCCCCCATCCCATTCCCATCCCCCATCCCATCCCCATCCCCCATCCCATTCCCATCCCCCATCCCGTTCCCATCCCCCATCCCATCCCCATCCCCCCCATCCCATCCCCCATCCCCCATCCCCTTCCCCATTCCCCATCCCATTCCCATCCCCCATCCCATTCCCATCCCCCATCCCATTCCCATCCCCCATCCCATTCCCATCCCCCATCCCATCCCCCATCCCATCCCCCATCCCATCCCCATTCCCATCCCCCATCCCCCATCCCGTCCCCCATCCCCCATCCCATCCCCCATCCCCCATCCCATTCCCATCCCCCATCCCATCCCCATCCCCCATTCCATTCCCATCCCCCATCCCATTCCCATCCCCCATCCCATTCCCATCCCCCATCCCATTCCCATCCCCCATCCCATCCCCCATCCCCCATCCCATCCCCCATCCCCCATCCCATCCCATCCCATCCCATCCCATCCCCATCCCCCATTCCATTCCCATCCCCCATCCCATTCCCATCCCCATCCCATTCCCATCCCCATCCCATTCCCATCCCCCATCCCATTCCCATCCCCATCCCCATCCCATTCCCATCCCCCATTCCATTCCCATCCCACATCCCATCCCCCATCCCCCATCCCATCCCCCATCCCCCATCCCATTCCCATCCCCCATCCCATCCCCATCCCCATCCCATTCCCATCCCCCATCCCATTCCCATCCCCCATCCATTCCCATCCCCCATCCCCCATCCCATCCCCCATCCCCCATCCCGTCCCATCCCCCATCCCATCCCCATCCCCATTCCATTCCCATCCCCCATCCCATTCCATCCCCCATCCCATCCCCCATCCCCCATCCCATTCCCATCCCCCATCCCATTCCCATCCCCCATCCCATTCCCATCCCCCATCCCATTCCCATCCCCCATCCCATCCCCCATCCCCCCCATCCCATCCCCCATCCCCCATCCCATTCCCATCCCCCATCCCATCCCCATCCCCCATCCATTCCCATCCCCATCCCATTCCCATCCCCCATCCCATTCCCATCCCCCATCCCATCCCATCCCCCATCCCATTCCCATCCCCCATCCCATTCCCATCCCCCATCCCATTCCCATCCCCCATCCCATCCCCATCCCCCATCCCATCCCCCATCCCCCATCCCCCCCCCCATCCCATCCCCCATCCCCCATCCCATCCCATCCCACATCCCATCCCCATCATCCCATTCCCATCCCCCCATCCCCCATCCCATCCCCATCCCCCGTCCCATCCCCCATCCCCCATCCCATCCCCCATCCCCCATCCCCGTCCCATTCCCATCCCCCATCCCATTCCCATCCCCCATCCCATTCCCATCCCCCATCCCCATCCCATCCCCCATCCCCCCCCCGTCCCATCCCCCATCCCCCATCCCATCCCCATCCCCCATCCCATCCCCATCCCCCATCCCCCATCCCATCCCCCATCCCATCCCATCCCGCATCCCCCATCCCATCCCCATCCCCCATCCATCCCCATCCCCCCCATCCCCCCATCCCATTCCCATCCCCATCCCCCATCCCATCCCCCATCCCATCCCCCATCCCCATCCCTCCCATCCCCATCCCCCATCCCCATCCCCCATCCCATCCCCATCCCCATCCCATTCCCATCCCCCATCCCCCATCCCATCCCCCATCCCCCATCCCATCCCCATCCCATTCCCATCCCCCATCCCATCTCCATCCCCCATCATCCATTCCCATCCCCCATCCCATTCCCATCCCCCGTCCCATCCCCCATCCCCCGTCCCATCCCCATCCCCCTTCCCATTCCCATCCCCCATCCCATTCCCATCCCCTATCCCCCATCCCATCCCCCATCCCCCATCCCATACCCCATTCCCCATCCCATTCCCATCCCCCATCCATTCCCATCCCCCATCCCATTCCCATCCCCCATCCCATTCCCATCCCCATCCCATTCCCATCCCCCATTCCACATCCCATCCCCCCCATTCCCCATCCCATCCCCCATCCCCCATCCCCCATCCCATTCCCATCCCCCATCCCATCCCCATCCCCCATCCCATTCCCATCCCCCATCCCATTCCCATCCCCCATCCCATTCCCATCCCCTCCCCCATCCCATCCCCATCCCCCATCCCATTCCCATCCCATCCCCCGTCCCATTCCCATCCCCCATCCCATTCCCATCCCCCATCCCATTCCCATCCCCCATCCCAATCCCATCCCCCATCCCATCCCCCATCCCCCATCCCATTCCCATCCCCCATCCTATCCCCCATCCCCCATCCCATTCCCATCCCCCATCCCATCCCCATCCCCCATTCCATTCCCATCCCCCATCCCATTCCCATCCCCCATCCCATTCCCATCCTGCATCCCATTCCCATCCCCCATCCCATCCCCATCCCCCTTCCCATTCCCATCCCCCATCCCTTCCCCATCCCCCATTCCTTCCCATTCCCATCCCCCATCCCATCCCATCCCCCCATCCCATTCCCATCCCCCATCCCATTCCCATCCCCCATCCCATCCCCCATCCCCCATCCCATTCCCATCCCCCATCCCATTCCCATCCCCCATCCCATTCCCATCCCCCCATCCTATTCCCATCCCCCATCCCATTCCCATCCCCCATCCCATTCCCATCCCCCCCCCCCCATCCCATTCCCATCCCCCATCCCACATCCCATCCCCCATCCCCCATCCCATCCCCCATCCCCCATCCCATTCCCATCCCCCATCCCATCCCCATTCCCCATCCCATTCCCCTCCCCCATCCCATTCCCATCTCCCATCCCCCATCCCATCCCCCATCCCCCATCCCATCCCCCATCCCATTCCCATCCCCCATCCCATCCCCATCCCCCATTCCATTCCCATCCCCCATCCCATTCCCATCCCCCATCCCATTCCCATACCCCATCCCATCCCCCATCCCCCATCCCATTCCCATTCCCCATCCCATTCCCATCCCCCATCCCATTCCCATCCCCCATCCCATTCCCATCCCCCATCCCATTCCCATCCCCCATCCCATCCCCCATCCCATCCCCCATCCCCCATCCCATTCCCATCCCCATCCCGTCCCCCATCCCCCATCCCATCCCCCATCCCCCATCCCATTCCCATCCCCCATCCCATCCCCATCCCCCATTCCATTCCCATCCACCATCCCATTCCCATCCCCCATCCCATCCCTCATCCCCCATCCCATTCCCATTCCCCATCCCATTCCCATCCCCCATCCCATTCCCCTCCCCCATCCCATTCCCATCCCCCATCCCATTCCCATCCCCCATCCCCCATCCCATCCCCCATCCCCCATCCCATCCCCATCCCCCATCCCCCATCCCATTCCCATCCCCCATCCCCCATCCCATCCCCCATCCCCCATCCCATCCCCCATCCCCCATCCCATCCCCATCCCCCATCCCATTCCCATCCCCCATCCCCCATCCCATCCCCCATCCCCCATCCCATTCCCATCCCCCATCCCATCCCCATCCCCCATCCCATTCCCATCCCCCATCCCATTCCCATCCCCCGTCCCATCCCCCTCCCCCATCCCATCCCCATCCCCCTTCCCATTCCCATCCCCCATCCCATTCCCATCCCCCATCCCCCATCCCATCCCCCATCCCCCATCCCATTCCCATCCCCCATCCCATTCCCATCCCCCATCCCATTCCCATCCCCCATCCCATTCCCATCCCCCATCCCATCCCCATCCCCCATTCCTATCCCTGTTCCCCATTCCCATCCCCATCCCCCATCAACCAATCCCCATCTTAAACCCCCAACTTCATCCCCATCCCCCACCCCACCTGCCGATCCCCTTACCCCCAGCAAGCAGGTGTGGGTGCCAGCAAAAGTACCTGGGCTGAAGGGCGTGCGGAGCATAGCAGTGGGCGCGTTTCACAACCTGGCACTGCAGGGGGATGGCCGTGTTGTGGCGTGGGGTAACAATGAGTATGGACAGCTGGGTACAGGGGACACACAGCCACGCTCGCTGCCTGTGGAGTTGCCTCAACTCACAGAGGCCGATGTGGTGCGTGCGTGCTGCTTGCATGTTGGCACGGCAGCTGCACGCAATGTGCTTGCACCCTCACCCTCATTCGTCACTTGAACAGTGTTTGGGGCCCCTCAAGATCCCCTTCACCAATTCCTGCATGCTGGGTGTGCGTCCCCCGTGTCCACCCTCAAGAGCTCAAGTGGTGCTTCAACACTCACGAACGCAGCAGTTGCAGCAACGAGTACCTGAATGGATTGCAAGGCCCAACACTTGCACCTGTGCAATGCGGCATGCTGTGGTTCTCTTGCAGCAACCCTTGCAGGCACCCATCAGCATGCATGTGTGGTTGAGCCCCTGCGGGTATTCTAATTCATCTGCCCACCTTTAATGCTGCTGCGTGCACGCATAAGTGAGCACCGCTTGCAATCAATCATTCGCCTGCCCCGCTCTCTCCCTGCTCCTTGTTCCTCACCTCTGCTTTCTCTCCCCATTCGCTTCTGCCCTGAACCACACATGCATGGCATGGCATGGCATGGCAGGTGGATATAACTGCAGGGGGATGGCATTCCATGGCAGTCACTCGATCCGGACAGGTATGATCAGATGCAGTGTGTGATGCAGGCAGGCATAGATTTTTTGGAACAATACAGATTGGGTTGTTGAGGATACAACATACTATTTAGGCTTGTTACCACTCACCACCGCCCCTCATTCACCACCACCCCTCATTCACCACCATTTCCCATACCCGCCACCTCTTATCAACACTCCCTACACAGGTGTGGGCATGGGGGAGAGGGGAGCACGGGCGCATGGGTTTCGGCGAGGATAAGACAATCAAAGCCATACCAACAGTGGTTACGCTGCTGGCAGGAGAAAAGGTGGTCCAGGCCTCATGTGGCGGCACTCACTCCCTCGTTGTCACGCTTGATGGGCGAATGTTCACTGTGAGTCAAACAGGGTGCATTTCTGGGAAGACGCACAAAGGGAAGCGTAACATAAGCAGCCTACCGCCCCGCACTGCATTACACCGAAGTGAGGAATGTACTTTCAGTATTGATGGGCGAATGTTTGGTGTGAGTCACAGCAGACTCGGTAGTCATTAACATAGCCAAACTCTATTGCCAAACCTCATCCATATCCATTGCCCTCCTGTCTATCCGAACCTCCCTTTCCAGTTTGGCAGAGTGGATGATGGCAGGCTCGGGCCAGCAGGCTCAGTAACAACAGGCGACCTCGTCAGAGTCCCTCTCCCAGGGGATCCCGATGCTACCTTCCACCCAGACGACCATCCGAACCTGCACAGCAGGCTCGGCAGCATCAGCCGCTCCCTTAGCGGCTCCTCTGGTCAGCCCAGGAGTTGTTGGCGGGTGGCGTTTGCCGTGTGTGGCGGGCGGCATAATTTGGCATTACTGTGTCCAGAGGAGGATTTGAGTGAAGTGAGTTGCCATTTGCCTTGGCACAAGGCACAGAAGGAGAGAGAGGGGCAGAATGGGCAGAAAAGGGGAGTGGGGCAGGTGCAGGGGACTGGAGGGACGGAGGCAGCGAGCAAGGCAGGGACGGGTGGATTAGAAGGGGGAGATGTGAGCACACAGCAGGCTGGAAGCAAAGTTGATGGGGAGCGCGCAGAGGGTGTTGCTTCAGTACAAGGTAGTGACAAACAGGAGTAGTTCCTGTAGGTCAGAGCAGTATTTCATTTTAGCCTAAATGTCTCGGAGCCCTCTATCAGTAAGCATATTGAATAAATTTCCAGGGCCTGCTGTCAGAACTCCCATCCTCTCTTCAGGCAACATATACTGTACCAGGAGCAATACAAAAACGTACGGTAATGTTGGGCTGAGACAGCCCTTAGGATCTTTGCAAGGGTAAACTCTGGGTAGAGATGATGTAATAGCGGAAGCGTTTAATAAAGAAGTTGTGAACCACCTTGCGCTGGTATGTGAGGGCAAAGTAAGTTGATTAAAGCAAGCAAGTACAAAGATTTATATAAGAGTACAAGGAATACGAAGAGATACGACTGATAACTATTTTACTGTTTGCTGTTGCGGTTCGATACAGTGCGACTCGGGCAACTGCTCAATATCGAGTCAGTTGTGTGTCCTTGCTGTCGCGCTGCATTTGTCAGGTCAAAGGTCGCTGACCTTTGACTTTCGCGTAACCTCCAACAGTTACTTTCAACCTCCGAGGGTTGACTCGCGGGTGTCTCGTTATGATTTACTTCGCTTCTGGTGCGGTGTTTCGACACGACAGAGGCGCTTACGACTTGTTGTTTCCAACACTCCCCTTCGCTTCTGGAGTGTCGTTGCTGATGACGTGGCTCTGTCCAGTCAGCAGCATGCAGTACTCGAATTTCTGTTTTCCGAGCTTCTTGGTCAAGTAGTCAGCTGCCATCTCTGACGTGGGACAATATGACAACTCGAGTCTCCCCTTCTCGATCTCGTCCTTTACGAAGAAATAGCGTAGGGCGATGTGTTTCGTCCTGTTCGCGAAGCCGTTTTTGTTGGCGATGCGAATTGCCGACTGGTTGTCGCAGAACAGGGTGAAGTTGGGTAACTCGGCTAATTTCGCTTCTTCCAATAGTTCGCGAAGATAAAGTCCTTCCTTGGTGGCTGAGCAGAGTGCGATATATTCTGCTTCGGCTGAAGAGAGGGCGATCAGTTCCTGCTTGCTCGACTGCCAGGAGATAGGACCGATAGGTTCGAGGCGGTAGATGTAGCCGGTGCGCGAGCGTCTGTTATTGGAGTCGCCAGCGTGATCGGCGTCGACGTAGCCGATTAACTTAGTCGGTGCAGTTGCGTTCTTGTAGTAAGTTAGGCCGATCGTCGGGGTGCTGACGAGGTAGTGAAGAGCGCGGTCGAGCTCCGCCAGGTGCTTTGCTTCGGGCTTCTTAAGGTAGGTGGCGAGCTGGCTCGCGGAGTATGAAAGGTCTGGACGGCAAGTAACGGCTGCGAAGAGGAGGCATCCCAGCTTCCTCTGGTAGTCGCGTATGCCGGCGGGCTTGAGTAGAGCGGATTCTCCCTTGTCGCTTCCTGTCGTGTAATGGTACGGCATGGAGATGGCGGTCGGTGTGAGAGCGAAGCGTTTGGCGATGGTGTCGGCGTACTTCGCGGCATTGAGGTAGATCGCGCCTTCTTCTTCCCGGATATTCAGGCCGAGGTACTGCGTGACAGTGGATGAGACTGTGAACGTGAGGTCTTTCTATAGCTCCCCTTCGAACCAGGTCGTGATGCCGTCGGTAGAGCCGATGTAGAGGAGATCGTCCACGTAGACGATTAGCAGGATGTAGTCATCGCTCTTCGTGAGTCGGTACATGCCTTGATCGTGCGGTAGCTGGTTGAAGCCGATGCGAATGAGGCGAGCGTGTAGGTGTTGTTGCCACAACCGTGGGGCTTGTTTGATGCCGTAGAGCGATTTGAGTAGCTGACAGACGTGGTTGGGTTCTCTGTTGGAGCCGTGCGGTAGTTCAACGAAGATTTCGGCATCGACGGGTGCGTAGAGGAAGGCATTTGCGACATCGATTTGCCGCAGCTTCCTTTTCTTCATGGCGGCGATCGCGAGTAGAATTCGGAGTGAGGTGTGTCGGCTGACCGGGGCGAATGTCTCGGTGAAGTCCCGTCCGTGCTCCTGATCGAATCCACGCACAACCCAGCGTGCTTTGAACTTCTCAATTGTGCCGTCTGCTTTCGTTTTGACGCGGAAGACCCATTTCCCGGTGAGAATGGTCTTGTTTCTTGCCACGCTGATGGGAACGACTTTCCAGGTGTTCCGTTCCTCCAGCGCTTTTAACTCTCTGTCCATGGCTTCGCGCCATTTCTCCCTATGTTCCCCCCCCAGAGCCTGCTGAACTGTTGCAGGCTCCTTAGGAAGAGCCGTGCCGTGGACTGCGGTGACGAGGCCGAGAATTTGGAGTCCACTCTGTGTGTAGCGGGGGAGTGTTGTGTCCTCGGGATAGACTGCTTCGTCTCCCGCTTCTGGTGTAGGATTGAAATTTGGTCCTACGCGTTCTGCTTCGTTGGTGTTGACCTGTGCAGGTGTAACGTAACCCTCGTCGGCGAGGTCGTAGAAGACGTCGGCGTTGACGCTTTCGCGAGGATTTTCGTCATCCATTGGGACATCCACGGAGCAGTAAGGGAGAGGTCCGGCTTCCTCCGAGGCTCCCTCCACGTTCTGCTCGTCCCAGTCAGCTTCGTCTCCTGCCGAAGCGAAGGCTCAGTTTCCATGAAATCCGCCCGATAGGTCAGGTCTGTTTTCTTCGACGTACATGAGGTGAGTTCCGAGGGTGAGGTTCTCGTAGAAGATAACATCACGTGCTGCTACTGTTTCCTTGCTGTTGATGTCGAAAATTTTCCATGCGTTGTAGTATTTTGCGATGCCCAGGTGTAGTCCCCACTGTGCGCGTTGAGAGAATCGTCCAGCTCGTGCAGATGGAGGTCGGTACTGTACCATGCAGCCGAAAACTCTTAACATTTTTGTGCTGCCCAATTTTCCTGTCCACAGCAGATGCGGTGATGCGTTGTTCGGGAGCGATGATGACGAAAGCAAGTTGTGCAGCATCACGGCGTGGTCCATTGCTTCGGGCCACTGGTGGTTGGGCAGGTGCATGCCACGTAGCAGCTTGCGCATGGTGGCTTGGAGCGTCCTGTTCATCCGTTCTGCTACGCCTTGCTGTTGGTGGGCGTAGGGAAGAGAGATGAGCCGTTTGATCCCTCTTTCTGCCAAGTACTGCTTGAACCTCTGTGAGGTGTATTCTCCTCCCCCGTCTGACTGAAAACTCTTTAGCTTGACGCCCGATTCTCTTTCTGCTACGGGAAGCCACGCGACGAAGGCTTCGAAGGCCATGTCCCTGCTCGGAAGGTTGAGATGCCACACGTAACGTGTCGCGGCGTCGATGAACGTGATGGTGTAACTGTAGGCGTTTTGTCCGGGTTCACGGTTGTATAATATGTCGCTGTACACCTTTTCCAGAGGTGTGTACGCAGGTGCGCTTGGATTGTGATGCGAGACGAACGGCTGATGCGGTAAGTCAGCTTCAGGGCAGGTGAAGCACGTTCCACGGGCTCGTTGAAGTTCTCTGCCGTCGGTCAGTAGGAGTGAATCTTTGTCGAGCACTCCTGCTCTTATCGTGTTGTTTAACACTGTGTTGCTTGGATGTCCCATTCTTGCGTGCCAGGTTCCTTCAGTGGCGCGATGTCCGGGTGATCGTCGATACAGATCGGAGTTGGAGTAGAAGCCGGCAGTGACGTTGGTGCTTCGGTGGACTTCACGCGGTGCCGGGTTTAGCTGCTGTGCGGGTGTCGGTGGCGAATCGTCGATGGAGATTGGTGCCGTTAAGGGACCAGCGATTGGTGTCGATGTTACCGCTGCTGTTGTTGTTGTCTCTGCTGCTGCCGATGTTGCTTCTGCTGCTGCTGATGTTGTTGCTGCTGCTGCCGATGTTGCTTCTGCTGCTGCTGATGTTGTTGCTTGAATTGTTGCTAACGCTCTTGTTCGTTCTGTCTCAGGTATCGTGTGAGAGTGCCAGAACCCACCAGGGCTGAAGTCTGGATCAAGATCTGGAGGGTGGGTCCAGGAGGTGAAGGTGACGATGCCGTCGCTGTCTGCTGTGCCGAGATCTGGAACGAAATGAAGAACGAAGACGTTGTTCTTGAGGATCGCCTTTCCGATGTAGAGGCCGCCCTTCCCGTGGTACAGCTTGAACTCCTGGGTGGTGCTGTTTGCTTCAAGGTGAATACCTTTCGCCATCAACTGACTGACACTCAGTAAGTTGTAGCCGAGGCCTTCTGCAATTAAAACCTTGGACATCTGTAGAATGACGTTTGTCTCTCGTGACTGAAGGTGTACTACGCCTTGTCGTCGTGTGCGCAGATTTTGATTGTTGGCGACGGTGATGACTACTTCTCGTTGGAGTTGATACTCTCGCTGCACGAAGCGTCCTGAAGAGCATATGTACTGTCCGCAGCAACTGTCCAAGAACCAGGTATCTTTCCCGGATGGCTCGCTTTGAGCGATGGCTGCGTACGTCGGATTCGGTTGAAGTGACTCGCGGCGGGGCGTGCTGTTGTCGAGTTGTTCTTCCGGTGAGTAATGTGGTGGTGATTCAGTGACGCAGGAGTCGGTCAATCTTGCCATGCAACTGACGATGTTCCTTGCTCCTTGTGCAGGTTGTCCCGTTGATGTTGTTGAAGCTTGAACCTGGGTCGTGGGATTCGCTTGCGTTGAGGCAACTTGGCTGCTTGAAGGTCGAAGCTGTCGCTGGCGTTGACTGTTGTCGATTCGGGCAGTGCGTGCGCGGGTGCCCTGACGTCTTACAGATGTGGCAGAACGGAGGTACGGGTTTTGGTTGTTGTCGGTTGTTGTTGTTGTTGTAGCGTCGCTGAGTGTGGAACGCGAACTCTGGTACTGATGCTTTTCTCTTGTGTCGTTCTTCTTGCAGGTCCATGTCTTGCTGCTCGGCGTGGATTTCGGCACAGAGTGCTGCTTCGGAGATTTTTCCGTGAGCTCGGAGGATGGCTCGGGTGGAACGCCATTGAGGACCGAGGCCACCGATGACGACTGTTACGAAGGCTTCTTCGGCTATTGATCCTCCGCATCGAAGGAGTTTGTCGCGCAGCTCGCGACAGCGGCTGATATACGCCATTCCCTTTTCGCCTGGTTTCATTTCGACCGTTGTCAATTGCGCCATTAACCGACTCTGGTTGACGCTGTCTGTTGCTTGATACAGGTTCTTCAGGT